AAAGTTCTCTTTCATTATTTCTTCAAGTAAGTTTTCAATTTCTTGTTCTTCCTCTTCTCCTTCTGGCACCACTCTGATTCAGATGTTGGAATGTTTAAAGTTGTCCCAGAGTTTCTTGAGCTTCTCCTCATTTTTTTGAATTCTTGTGTCTTCATTCTATTCTGGTTGAATGTTTATCTCTTCCTCCTGCTCCAAATCATTGTTGAGTTCCAGTTTCCTTCTCTTTACTGTTGGTTCCCTGTATATTTTTATTTCACTTCGCATTGCCTTCACTTTTTCCTCCATTTTGCGACCATATTCAACTATTTCTGTGAGCATCCTCATTACCAGTATTTTTAACTGTGCATCTGATAGGTTGGCTCTCTCTTCACTGCTTAGTTCTATTTTTGGAGCTTTGATCTGTTCTTTAATTTGGGTCATATTTCTTTGTCTCAGCGTGCCTGTGCCTGTTACGTTGGAAGGGGCAGAGCCTTAGGTATTCACCAGGGTGGGGCAACCCAGGTCCCTCCATTGTGATGCTGTATGCGGGGGAAGTGTCTGAGAGGGAACAATGCTGCTTGCTCGGCTTTCGGCCACCTTTCAGTCACTTCCCACTACCCACAAGCAAATTGGGCCCTTCTGGTGCTGATTCTTAGGTGGGGAGGCTGTGTACATTCTAGGACCCTGTGGGTCTCCCAACAAACTCTCCTGTGAAGCCGGAAGTTTCTCCTGCTGCTATATCCCCCACAGGTTTTTACAGCCGGAGGTTTTGAGGCTTTCTTTTCCTTCACTGGAATCCTGGATTGCGTGGTCTGTCTCACTCTCCAGCTGTTCCTCCGTTTACCCACACATAAACGTGAGAATGACCCAGTCTGCCAGCCGCTGCCTCACCCACCCAGTCCTCCACCTACTGCCTTGCCCCACGTCCTCTCCACCCTAGCTGCCTGTCTCTGCCCCTCCTACCAATCTGGATGAATATTTCTTCTTTAACTCCTTGGTTGTCGGACTTCCACACAGTTTGATTTTCTGGCAGTTCCGGTTATTTTTTGTTTTTAAATTTGCTGTTGTCCTTCTTTCAGTTGTACACCTCCATCTTGGTCGAAAGTATCTAAGATTAATGTTTTGATGTTCACATTTAAACCCTTAATGTATCTTGAATTAAGTTTTGTTTGTTATATATATTGTAGGAGTTCAACTATTTAAAAACAACTGTAGTTTTTAAGTTTTAGGAATAGAGATTACTTATCTTATAAAAATCCAATTCCATAACCCAAATCAGCAACTCAGAAGTATCCACCAGAAGTTCTTCTGAGTGAACTCAAGGATGAAACTATGGAATTATTAGCTTTACTAATGTGCATGATGGAGTACTGAAGAAAGGCAATATGACAGCTCCATAAACCAGCAAAACTTTAAAGAGAGGCCAGTGAAATCTGAAATAATAGTATGTTCTCAGAATTTAAACAAAACCAACCTATAGGGAAGAAGGTAACATGCTTTTAAAAAAAAAATCATCATCATCATTCTTGATTATTAGAATTCTTCATATGGTTGTACTAGTTTGCTAGAGCTGCCATAACAAAGTACCACAGACTAGGTGGTTTAAACAACAGAAATTTATTTTCTCTAAATTCCAGAGGCCAGAAGCCTGAGATCAGGTGTCCAGCAGCATTGGTTTCTTGTGAGCCCTCTCTCATTGGCTTGTAGATGGCTGTCTCCCTGTATTTTCACATTGTCTTCCCTCTGTGTATGTCTGTCTTAATTTCCTTATCTTTATAAGGACACCAATCATTGATTAGGGCCCACCCATGTGACCTCATTTTCATGTAAGTACATCTTTAAAGACCCTATCTCCAAATACAGTCACATTCTGAAGTACTAGGGGTTAGGGCTTCAACATGTAAGTTGAGGGAGCACATAACAGAGTTTAATAATGCAACCAATATGATTTTATTTCATTAATTCTTTAAAAAAAGCTTTGACAAGATTTTTACATTGAGGACTACTTAAGTAACCAAGGGACAGAGATTACCAGTTTTTAAAAAATCAGTGAACAAGTAAACAAATGAACAAATCAATATATTATAAAGTAATTTAGGTTGGGATGAGAAACAATGAGTAGAACTATGAAGACACTGTTCTAGAAGAAGTATATAAGGATTGGTCTTGAGACTAATTGTAAATTGTTTTTATTTTTTTATTTTTTAGAGAGTGGAGAAGAGAGGGAGAAAGAGGGAGAGAAACATCGATGCAGAAACAAAAGGGTTGGTTCTCATACACGCCCCAACTGGGGACTGAACCCATAACCCAGGCGTGTGCCCTCACCGGGAATGGAACCAGCAATCTTTTGCTTTGCCAGACAACAGCCAACCAACTGAGCCACAATGGTCAGGGCCTAATCTTAAATTCTTAAAATTAAGACAGAAGGAAGTACAGGGTAAAATATCCGTATTTACTGGTGTATCTGATTTCTTCTAGGTAATGACAAAGCATAGATTTAAACTTAAAAAATCATTTCAGGTTGTATACTTTTAAAATTTTTTAAGTGAATTTAGTATAAATAAATAAAAGGTATTATATTTATAGGTCACTGATTCTGAATGGCAGTAAAGGGTACCTTCCAAGGACGAACATATCAGAACTAGGAAATGGGGGCAGTGCTTTTTTCAAATTATACTGTCTGAAACTTTGATTTTCTGCCACCCCCTCCACTCTGCTCTGAAAAATCACTGCTGTAGTGTACCACTGATTGAATAGAGTATGTTAACAATATTCTCATTTGATAAATTATTGAAACTACACTTACATGATCATGGTATCTAAGCAATCTAATATGACCTAGGAAAGGGACCCTAGTGTCATGCTAAGTTAACCATGTCCTAAAGACCTCAACTCAATATGCTGCTGAGAGCATATAATGTTGGATGACCTGAACATTAATTAAGACTGAGCCAGACACATGGAATCATTCAGTCATCTGCATCTGCCCTTTGAAAAAGCATTACAAAAATCTGAAACCCATCTCTTGCAATTAAGAACCAGTGGCTACAACCCCCTCATTTAATGCATAGGAAACTAAGATCCAGAGATATTAAAATGACTTGTGTAAAGACACTGAGATAGTTATTGATGGATCCAGGCACCAGGTCTCCTAAATTCCAATCTAACATTCTTAACAACTATTTTAGAAACTGTTAATTCCTATTTCTAGTATTCTCGGTTTTTACCCAATGTGCATTTCTGGTCACTACAATGTAAACTTAAAACCACTTTAAAAAAGTGTCTCAAGGGAAACAAATGAAATAATCAAAAAAGATTAAGAATATAGTCTCTTATTTTTTTTCAAAGATTTTATTTACTTTTTTGAGAGAAGGAGAGGGAGGGAGAAACAGAGAGAAATATTGATGTGCAAGATAAACATCAATCAGTTGCCTCTTGCACACCCCCAACTGGAGACCTGGCCTGCAGCCAGGTATGTGCCCTTACTGGGAATCCAACCTTTCAGTTCTCAGGCCAGCACTCAATCCACTGAGCCACACCAGCCAGGGCTCCTTTTACTTATATCCCAACCTCATTCCCAGAAGGCTTGCAAAGATGGAGATAGTATAGTAAGATAAAAAATAATTAAAACAGAAAAATGAGAATTAGGAAAATAAAGGCAGAATAGATAGCAAACCAAGACAGGGAAAGAGAAGGAGACATGTCTCACCCATTGATTCAGCAGGCCAGAGCCTGGTCAGGTAAGATTGCTAGGTGTTCCAAAAATCACAAGAAAGACTATGATAAGCACAGGATGAGGGGAGCCTTGTGTGTATCATTGCCACTATCTGGGAAAGGAAGCCTTTGAAATGGTATGTTAATCCCAAGGTCTGGAGAAGGGAGGAAGAGGGGGAAATTAGAAACTGGCTACAAGCATAAAGTCCCAGTAAGTCGGTGCACTCAGTCTAGCCAGGTGTCCACTTGCAGCTTCGTGCTCAAGTGTATTTCATAAATAAATGTACTATCTCATTCCCACTATACTTGTCTCTCGATTGAATTCATCTCTTGCAAGTGAGACAAGGACCAAGGAGGGGGAGCCCCCCTAACTCGGGTCTCCCTGATGACTGTTACTAGCATACAAAATACACAACATGAAATCCTAAACCCTTGATGGAAGTGGGCCACAATTTGGCTCTAAATAGTCTAGCATCAATATGAAAAGAAAAATACAGTCAGTTGAGTATTTAGTGTGTTTAGGGTAAAACCAAACAGCAATTCAGGAAAAGCACACCTAGGTTCAGAGAAAATTTCTCCTATGCATCTTTAAAAAGAACATTATGAATTGTAATCATAAATACCCTTTATGGTATCTACAGCAATTAAGTTTCATAGGGATTTGATACATATTGCCAAAGTACAATACAGTAAAAGCAATTCTATAGAGGCAAGTAAAAGGCTAGCTATGTACAGGAAAAATCTGGCTTAATCCAGGGACAGAATTAATAGAAGTACACAGAATACTTTACAGACTCCCTTTGATCTGAAAAAAGAGATCAAATATGACTGAAGAATAATAATCATGAAGCTTTTGAGAAGTTAAATAAAAATGAAGTCAAAAGGCCAGAAATATATACAAATTTAAGGTCCAGATGATTTTCCTTATTAAAGGAAAAGGTTCTTAAATGTTAAGGTTGACGTCACCCTCTTAATCCCTCGGTTTAAGGAATTTACCCATTAGAGACTGAACCCTGGGATGTCTAGGGCAATGATCAGTTTAAGAATCCTTATGTCAGCCCTGGCCAAGTGGGTCAGTTGGAGCATCATCCCAATACACCAGGGTTGCGGGTTAGATCCCTGGTCAGGGTACATGCAAGAGTTGGCTAATGAATGCATAAATAAGTGAAATAATGAATTGATTTTCTTTCTATCAAATCAATAAATAAAAATTTTAAAGAACCCTTATGTCTTTTAAAGAGGTTTTGTTTTAGGAAAAATTTGGACAGCTATTTCAATTACCCCTAAAGACATTTAACCCACCCATGTTTTACTTCCTATTTATTCTCTTTCTCACATTAAGCTACTATGATTCACTTTTTAAATTTTTTAAAATTAAATTTATTACAAACTGGCTTTGAGTCCCCAGAATCATGAGATTTAGGTACATATTTAGGGGTTGAAATGCCAGCTTTGGAGACCTCCAAAAAAATATTCATACTGCTTCTGACACGGCTATTAAACACATAAGTAGCACCTTGGGAACCCATGAAGTGGTATTATTGCTCAAGAAAGGAAACACGACGCAGAAAAAAGTGAGAAAAGTGAAATAAGCCTCTGGCTAAAAGCTTCAGGGTATAAGTACTGGATAAATTAACCAGAAAAAAGGGTTAACCCTCTGATCTGAGATGTTGAATTGAGAGGTGGGTTGTATGATGAGGGAAGAACTATGGCCAGTTATGGCTGCCAGTAGCAGGATCCACAAGATTTAAATTCTGGTACAATGCCTAGAAGAACACAATGACAAGAGGTTACAAAGTAAAAAACTGGATCATCAAGGTGGTCGTACTGAGTTGGCAGTGGAGGTGATCCTCAGGTTCCCAAATGGGCCCGAATCTGTAGTAGAGGGTCTCAAACAGGGTTGGAGTGGACCAGGTGGGACTCCAGGTTACAGTCAAAGTCCTTGAACAGCATGGACTCTGATGGACTAAGCTGGGTAGCTTGTGTCTCCATGACAAAGTTCACTGGCTGCTTCTGTAAGAGCTCTGGGTCAAAGGCCACGCCCCGAAAAAAAGGGTGGACCTGGAAGTGATGGAAATGCCGTAGACGCTGGAGGGGATTCTGGCATAAGAGCTGAATGGAAAGAAAGCAACAAGGACAGGGACAGGAATAGGAAAGGGGCTGTTAAGAGGGATGCTGGAAAAGGAAAAGTTCATGGAGCCATGGAGGACAGAAGAAAGTACCCTAAAGAGGAAAGGAATTCTAAAGAGGGAGACAGGCTAATGTCGGGTCAAAGGCAGGAGAAAAGGAGCTGTATTGGTAAGAAAGCATCACTGGCCCACTCTCTCAGAAGTAACCTGTCTGTTATGGATGGGGAAAATATTTGGAGGACCAGGAACTCAGGAATGACATTTGAAGTGCTGGTTAGAGCACAAGTAGTGACATAATACTTGATCAAGTTGGAACCCTCCCCACAAAAAAAAAATCAATCATAGGAATGGGGAAATACCACTTCAATGACAGGGAAATGAGACAGCGTATGGTTTGTTTGGTAGTCAAGAAGGAAAGCAGTGCTCACCCTTACCTCATGGAGCAGAAGTGAAAGCCCCTGGTTAAGAGAAGCTGGGATCTCAGAGCCATAGTGAGTCACACTTGCCAACATGGCCTCGTGATCTCTCTCTGCAGCCACTGGGAACTGAGTTAAGGAGTGGGGGGGGGGGGGGTATCATTTCTTAGTAGGAAGAAAAGCAAGGTTTCCTAAGGTCTTCCCACCACATGGCAAAAACTCTTCACATCTCTGCCCAGTACAACTACCATTCTCTCACCTTTCCAGTTGCCAGAGAGAAAAGCAAGACACCCAGGGACCACCAATCAGCAGCATGGTTGTAGGGCCCTCCACTCAGAACTTCTGGGGCTACAGATTTGAAAGATACTTGTCATTGACATTGGTTGGCCATCCTGCCCAATGCTTACCCGCCAATTTTAGTTTTTTTCTTACCCATATATTGAAGAGTGCCACAGATAGTATAGGCTCGAGCTCCCTGGGGCAGGTGGCGGGACAGACCAAAGTCTGTCAGTTTCAGATGACCTATAAAAAATAATGCAACAGCACCACTCTGTTCCATCCCTCATCAGCATGGCGTATTCCCAAATTGAAGTACCTCTCATTCTGGGGCTAGAAAAGGACTTACCTCGTTTATCCAGAAGGATATTTTCCATCTGAAAAGCACAGGTGAAAAGTTATTCATCCTCTTCCTGTATATCCCACAGCTGAAGAAGATGCCCTACTAAACATTCAGGTCTAAACTTGGAAGGTCCTTGCCTAAATCCTTAACACCCATGAGAGTCCCAAGGTCAGCTGTTTTCAGCTACCCCATGTCTTCTTGGACACGTGGAACTTCTTACTAAGGCCCCTCCTTAGACAAAGGAAAAAAAGCACTTAACTCTACCTTCACATCTCGATGGATGATGCCCAGGTCATGGAGATAGCCTGTGGATGACAGCAAGCGCATGGGGTGTGCTGAAGTTCTATCCTTTCCAACTTCCTGGTAGCCCCATCCCATCCCTATCCCTGTTCTTTGACTTCCAAAGTTAGTACCAATTTTCTTATATCTGTCCTCCCTCCATTAATTCTTCCCTCGTTTCCATTTACCACTCCTGTTTCACTTACACAGCACCAGGACCAGCTCAGCAGCAAAGAGGCGGATGGAAGCCTCAGCGAAGCAGCCAACGGTGGACCACAGGGAGTACAGATCTGTGCTACAGTAGCTGCACACTGAAAAGCACCAGAAGTCTAGGCAACATTTGGGACCTACTGTGCCTGGGCTCAAAACATTATAGACCACCTGCCCAAAATGATGCCGTATGTTGTTTGTCCCCTCTCCCTTTGGGAAAGAGAAATGCGGTGAGGGAATAAAGCAAAGGCAGGACAAGCCAAAGGGATGGGTAATCTCAGATGACGAGAATGATAGGACCTTGGGAATGAGGAGAGAGATCAGTCACTCACTAATGAAGAGGTGCCGTTTTCCCTGCCAGCTCTCCCCCAAACTGTGTACAAAAGGATGGTCGATCTGTCGCTAGAGATGAAGAAAACAGGAAATGAGGGAAGAACAGGATCACTGAAGATCAAGGCATCTAAGAAGTCAGAATATATCTACTTGTGCAGAAAGGGAGCGGCTGCCCCACCTCTCATCTTAGGTGAACTAAATTGGGACTGTCTGCCTCGTAATCCAGGAATCAGTATACTACTAAGGAACACACTGGGACATGCTGGAGAGATTTCCCTGGCACCAAAGCAGCAGGTGGGGCAGGTGGGACATCACCCTGGCTGATGTGTTACCCAAGACAGGGCTGAGCTTGGGTCGGGGGGGAGCAGCAGTAGCTGAAGGAAGCAACTGCCACAGGTCCTCCACTCCAGGATGGGGAGAAGGGGGGAGTGAGGGGAGAAGAGGAAGATGTTTTACTGAGGAGGTGCATTTTACTGTACAGCCAACAGAAGTTATAAATAAAGGTAACTGTGTCAGCAAATCTCGGTGACAACACAAATGCTTCTTCAGAAGGGACTAGTCCCTCTGAAGGGAGGAGTCCTGTGGGGTGTCTCTCAGAAACCCATGATAGCACCAGAATGGGAGAGAAGGTGGTATCCGAGCTACTCCAGGATGTGCAAGAGGGCCTGTGCAAGAGGGCGGTGTGTCAATGCCTCTGTAATGGGGGGAATCCTTCCCTTTTTAGTCAAAACTGAATGTATGTTCACTCGAGCCACTTGCTAAAGTAAACTGTCACCTAACATTTGGAGTTCGACATATGTTCTTACAGTTAGTGCTTGAAACTCATCGTAAATATCATGCTTTTTAAAGCTCATTTAGCTGTTTTTGTCTAATAGACTTACTTGTATATTTTATCATGAGGCCATAGTGGCAGATATTTTAGTTCTAAATACATACAAATGGCTCAGTATTGAATAATTTGACCATTCCAATTCTGTATATGTTAACAGATTAATTTTATATTTGCAAGTGCTTTTTTTTTTTGTAACATCTCAAACCCTAATTTTTATTACAGGAGCTACATATATATATATTTTTAAAAGCAGATGAAAAAATTTAGATGAGAAAAACAAAGAAACACTAGTAATTCCATTAAAAATCAAGAATTATAGTTAATAACCTTGATGGAAATCCTGATTTCTAAATGTTCTAAAAACATCACATAATTCTTTTGTCTTCCCCCCTTACCTTTATTTAGTCATTCTAGTAGGAATGTAGAGTTATTTCATTCTGCTTTGAACTTGCAGTTCCCTCGTAACTACGGATGTTGAGCATCTTTTCATGTTTATATATGTACTTACGTATGTGTCTGTACAGGTCATTTGGATATATTCTTTTGTGAAGTGCCTGTGGGTTCCTTCATTCACATTCTATTAAGCAGTTTCCTATTTGTTTGTGGTTGTTTCATGGGTGAGGGTCCCTCCATCTTGACTGGAAGCAGAATTTCCTACATTGATTTTTAAAAGTGTTAACCCAATCTCCTATTCCTAGAATATAATTTGGTGATTTTTTAAATTTACTTTCATGAGTGAAATTGGTTCACAGTTTTTCTTCTCTGATAATGTCCATGCTAGGCTTTGGTGTCAAGATTATGCTGGCCTCATAAAATGAGTTGGAACAAGTTCCCAACAAGCAGCAAAAAAAAAAAAAAGAACCGAGGCTAACTCTGCTGATAGCTACTTTTCCCAGGATCTACTTTGGTTGAATCAGGGGGACAGGCAGAACCAGGAAAAACAGGACAACTGTACAAAAAAGGTACTTTCTCCACCTACAGTTTATAGTTCTTCCTAGGATCCTTTCCAGTGCTCTATGCATACCTGGATGCTAACCTCCTCTTTGCACTGCCTCAGGATGTCCCTCTGGAGGACCTTGACCTTGGGCACCACCTGTAATAGGACAGGAATGATGACTCCCAGAGGGGAATAGTGCTACTGAATTATGTATTCCTCCCAACCTTTCCAGCCAAGCCAAAACTGGAGGCAGGGACTAGAGAATAATGTGGAAGAGTACCTAGGTCCCTACCTTCACTGCAAATACTGCTTTCCGGCCAGAGTCTAGCACCTTGAAGACAGTTCCAAAGGACCCTTTAGCCACAAGGCCTAAAATCTGTACAGAAAAATGGAGAACAGAGCAATTGAGACTCTGGTCATTTCTGTTTCTCCCCAAAACCGAGACATCTTCCAGTGTCCATTGACCTACCTTCAGCTGCTGACCCCTCCTAAGGGGCCTATTGGGAAACTCCGGCAGAAAGAGGGTGATGATCTGAGGCACTGGCCACTCAGAGGCTTCTCTATTAGTAGTGGGGCTGGCTCCAGGGGCTTCTGGTGCTGGCATTGATGCCCCCGTAGTTCCCACAGTTCTTCCAGACCTGACCTGGTGGTCCCCACACATGACCAGAGGCTCTTCCAGCCTTGGACCCAGGCACCCTGGATGTTGCCACCCTGCTGAGAACCCAGGGAGCCACTCTAAACCTGCCCCTGAGGCATTACAGGTTCAGCAGGCACTCCTAATAGCAACCCTAGAGGTGTATTTTTGAGACCAGGCAAAATTGCCACCATTGTTCTTGCTTTGGGCCATGACCTAGATTTCCTGAACATGATTCAAATCCTCTAGGAAAGCAGTATTTGGGCATATTCTCTGTAAGGCATCCAAGGTCCAGCCTGCACCTCCCAGGATGGGGCTGGGATACTTTCACAGTATAGCACCCCCACCCCCACAGTGGGCATCACAAACATACTCCTCACCAGTCATTTCTCAGGCCTCAAGTCTAGGTCTTCTTCACCTTCCCTAGACAGGCTGCCAGAGCCCCACAGCCTACCTTATGGGGAGCAGCCACCTGGCCATGTTGCCCCTGCCGACAGCTCACCGTTCCCATTTCCAGCCTCTGCCTCTTCTCTCCTTTTGCTAAATCTGCTGACCCAGTTACATAAGCAAGTTCTCCGCCTGATGCTGTATTACACACAAGCCCTGCCTCTTACTTGCTATTCATGACTACAGATGCAAGGGATGCAGCCAAACCTCACCCTTATCCCCAAATCCTATTATCCCTGATCAGAGTAGGTTTGTAGCCAGAACTAAAATGTGCAGTAACCTATCAGCATAGGGCCAGTGTCACACCAGAGCTGGGAAATATCTGAGATACAGTTTTAGGCAGAAGGAAAGAGGCTACCCTCATTAGAGTGGCAGCTAGAGTATGTATCTGAGGTTGATTTAAAGGGAAGGATATAGACAAGATGAACCCATGCACTCAACACAATTAAAAAAACAGCATCGAATTTAAAATATTTTTTTTTCTCTTTAAATCATTTTCTTACCATTCTCCAGGGCATATCCCAGGGGGACCCATGGCCAGCCCTGGCTCCCACTGCCATCTCTCCAAGTGAGCTTGGCACAGATTGTGGGAGGGGCTCATTCTCCCTGAACACTAATACCTCTTTTATACAAGGCAGTGGAATGAGGAACAGATCAGCCCTCTGCCCTCAACTTTCTGGCATAGGGGAAGAGCAGCTACATAGAGAAATATATATATATATATTTATATATGTCTATTTATAAAAATTTATCACACTTGATCAGAACTGTCCCTCACCCTTTCAGCTGACCCCAAGGGAACCAGATCCTCCTGGGGCCATTCCCTGGGCCTTGCTCTCTCAATACCTCTCTGGCCCTGGGCCTGCTGATCAGTGTGAGGTAGAACTCAGCATTATTATCCACCATGCTCTGCTGCTAAAGAGTACTGCCTCTCTCTGTAGTACCCTGTGGGATCCTAACCCCAACAAATCCTGATGGATAATGGGAAGTGCCTCCCACCCCACAAGTCTCTGGGGCTTCAGCCAGAGTCAGATCCTGTACTGCAGCCACTCTTGGATTGCCGGATCACTTGCGCCTGCCAAAAATGGACTTCTTGCCAGGGTTCTTGTTGCCCACACTTAAACCGATGAGGAGCCGGGCTTTCTCTTCTTCTTCTTGCTGCTGCATGTTGAGGTCTGATTTAGTTTCTAGCTTTCCCCGGACCTCTGACCCTGTTGCAGGCTTCAACCTTAGCTTCTCTTTGATTACCTGATAGGTTAGAGAGAAGTAAAAGGGAAGGTAAATATTAGTGGAACAGGCAGAATAAATCACAGTGCACCAATTCAATAGCAATTTATTAAATTTACACAAAGGCAAAATGGAGCAATTCAAATCCTAAAATGATCTGTTTTCAAGCTCACAGTCTAATTAAAACCCATACTAAACCTGAAGTTGTGTTAGCCATTTCCTAAAAATCAACAGTAGTTAACATACACAAATCAGTAAACACACAATTTAATCATCTGAGCGAAGTCATGAAGAGAGCAGATAAAAGTTGCTCACTTTATTCACTTGCCCCATCCCAAGGCTGCCTATTACTACATCCTGCAATGAAATGGTCCTGAGTAGAGGATCTGTTTGCCAGACCCCACTAACCAAACAGCCATGAACTCTGTCGGGATACCTGGGCAACCAGGGCTTTGCGGCTGTCCCTCTTGACAGCCATGGCAAAGTCTAGCCATGTCCATGTGTTGTTGTGATACTCCAGACAGGGCAACACCAAATTAAGGTCACCCCAGTCCACACTGTTCTTCTCACCCTGCAAGAGAAGGATGGGTAGGGAAGAGAAAGAAGAAGGAAAAAAAATATATCAGCTGCCACTTTTAGTTCAAGCCAGTACTTGAGTCCAAGTCTAGTACCTTCCTGTAGCGGCAACCTACAAATAATGATTTCCCCTTACTTCAGTCTCACAATGGGAGCAAAGAAAACTTAACACCCATGGGTCAACTTCACAAACTGGGCTATCTCCCCGTACTTAATCTATGATGATCTTATCCGGTTCCCTTCCCACCCAGTTCTAGAAAAGTGCTGGGGAGGTACATACCTTGTAGCTGACACACAGTGGAACCTGTGGAATCTTTATGTAGATAAAGGAGTTGTTCATGGCAGCTCGCTCTTTCATCTTGTCAATATCATCTACAGGGTGCTAGGAAAGGCAGGAAAGGAGTGTAAGCCCCTGAAACTTAGGACCCCAAACATCTCCATCTTCTTTCACCTGTGGAGTAGACGCAAAGGCAACAGAAGAAATCCCCAGACTGGCTTAACAGAGTATCCTAGGACTCTTCCATTTTTCTATCATCAGGGGCATGTCCAGTACCTCAGGGGCTTTGCGAAATGACCCTCTGACCCCAGAACTCCGATTCAAGCCCTGTGCCACACCCTTCCCAGGGCCCAGTGCTGCTGCATCATCTGTTGCAATCAGCTGCCGAGGCTTCACCACTGGTATTCCTGTGAAAAAGCAAGCACACCAGCTGTTGTCCTCTTTCTGAAGCTCAGCTCTCTCTGAGGCTGCAATGTTACCCCAGTCTTCTGGAGCTCCACCATAAAAGTTCTCACCAGTAGTCACCAGTTTGGACTTATCTTCCTCATCACCAACCTCATCATCTTCCACACTTCGGCCAGGAAAGAAAAAGCCCATTATTCTATGGAAGAACTGGTGTGTTAGCTGGATGGTGAGAGGCACCACATTTACCTGAAGAGGAAAAAGGCTGAAGAAGCAATTAAGTTCAGACATCATCCCTCAGTTTACCTACCCTTACTACAGCATAATACAACACAGAGATAGCTTTTGCTGCCCTTTGTTCCTGGGTCCCCAAAAGACTGTTTACTAACCTCAAAGTGCTCCTTAACAGAGATACCCCCAACAGGGGGCCGGACTTTGCTGAAGAGGCGGAGGGCTAACTGTCGCCCCGACTGGCAGGAGCTCTGGGGCCGCAGGACTACCTGTGGGATAGGGTGATAAATCAACCCAGAAATCCTCTATAGACTAAGACAAGAAACATAGTCTTGTTAAGACAGGCAAGCTTTCACCATCTCAGATCACTACACTGTTTCCCATGGTGGGTTTATGTGGAAGGGCCATCACAAATGGCCTGTACTAGAAGTATGTGAATGGGCTAGGAATGGGGAAATGAGACTTGCCTTATAGACAGCATTGGGGAGGAGGTTGTTCATCGTGAACCAGCCCAACTCCAGAAGGTGTTCTGCTGTGTCATCAGATTTATTCACCTATAAAGATAGATCCCACACCCCCAAACCCCAATCCATTATCATAAGCCTTTCTCAGGAGTTTGCTAGAGAATTGCTATATGTACTATTTGTTTTCAGGTTCTCCCTATGCCTAACCCCAAACTTTGATACCTCTTTCAACCTCATATAGTCAATGTACCCTCTAATCCCATATTTCTCATGGGTGCTACCAGCCAGGGCACTAAATGCCAGCACTACTTCCCAGTTGCTATGGCATTCAAAAATGGTCTCATTCATTACCAAACATCCTGGAAGGGGACAGGGGTGAGGGGGAATGAACAATATCCTCTCCTCCATGCCATGGGTAATTGCAGGAGAGTTTAATGCCAGTTTAGTAGAATTAAGCTTCTTCTATTCCAAGCAGGGCCACATTTCTAGGGATAAGACTATTCATTGAGGAAAGGATTTTGATCACCCTCATCTATATCTGCATTATTTAACATTACAAACATGTATGTAAGGGGAACTCTGCTCATGTATCATTAATAATCTTCAAAACCATCATCAGTAATTATGTAATAACTAGCTCCTTTTTGTTTCTCTTTTTGTGAGTTACACTCATGAAATAGGTCAGTGCCTCTTAATACAACTGCCTTCGTGTGACTGTATATACCCAATACCTTGCTATAGAGGAACCGCTGCAGCTCTAGTTCAGCGATTCCTAACTGTCCATCTTCCTCTGTCAGGCGCCATCGTGCCTGAGCAAAGTAGAACTCAGTGCGACGGACCACGCTCACATCCTCCTGCTGCTTTCGCAGCTCCATCTTATTGGCCTGCTGCAACTGGAAATCCTTAAAACACCTATAAATGGACAGGAGGGTCAAAGCCAATAGGGAGGGGCAACAGCATCTGGGTTGGGGGTACAGTGGAATGCTCTAGAATAATGCAGGAGATAACCCCAGAGATGGACCTATTATAGAATGGCTCTTCTCTAAATTTTTTTCACTGGATTCATTGCTTCTCATGCTCTGCCATGGGATGACAAATCCCATCTTTCAGTACTACAGCTTCTTAGTATGAGATAATAACCCCTATGATTATACCTACAATTGTGTTCCTTACTGATATACTCAAGATATTTTATTTTCCGTTCGGATGCACAGTATTAAGACCCAAAAATGATCTTTCCCAACTACCCATTTTTCCCCTATCCCAGGAGGTATTCTATTGATCCAAAGGAAGGACTCTTGTTCGCAACTTCTTGGCTATGTTTGGTAAGGCTCATTCAGGAAGGGATGCCTGAATCTACTACATCAGCCTTTGATAATGCACACTAGGCCTAAAAGCTAGCAGAATGTATGCAAAGAAGAGAAATTGACTCCAGCTGGGGAACTGAAAAAGGGCAGGAAGAGAATGCTGTTTCACCTGATGAGAATATTAAGCTCTTCACTTTCCAGGGTTAGATTGGCCTTCTCCTGGTTTAGCTGCAACTGAAGCTTTTGGTTCAGGTCAAGCAGGTTCTCATTCTTGCTGTCATCCTGCAAAGACTAGGGGGCCAGAACAGGAGAAACTGAGAGATTTCCCTTGTCCTAGGAGACATCCCTATCCTCAGACTGCCCAGGTGACTACCTTCATGATAGAATACATCTGCTTTTCCAGCTGCCGTATCTGGGCCACATGCTGTCGCACAGCCTCCTGCAAATGTAATATGCTGCTGCGCTGCTCCTCAGGATTGCTAGAAATCTCAAGCTGGAACCTGACCCTCTGCTTCTTCTCACTATGCTCCTAAAGGAATAAAAAAAGAAAATGAACAAGATTTTATAGTATACAAGTCTTATGTAAATTGAAATACAGAAAGGAAAATAAATGAGGAGCTCTTCTGAGATGCTCACCTTTATCTGTCACCAGTAGCAGCAAGAGTAAGGGGTAGGCCC